AGGAGCCCCCAGGACTTGTCTGCAGCCAGCTGGAAACAGGTGGAGGAGGTCTTCCAGGCCTGCCAGCCCGGGGGTGTCCTGGCGCTGCCCACCACCTTCCACTCCGCCCTGGAGGACCCCGCAAGCGCCCGCCTGGAGGTGGCCCTGGTGGGGGAGGCCGGCTCCCTGAAGTCCTCCCTGCTGCGGGCCCTGCTGGGCAAGGGGGAAGAGGAGGAGGAGGGGTGGCCCCCCTGGAAGGCCCACCCCCTCCCGGGCTCGCTCCTCCCCCGGGCCTTCCTCCGGGACGTGTCTGGAGGGCCCCCCCTGCACCTGGACTTGGCCCGCTTTGACCTCGTCCTGCTCCTGTGTCCTAAGGAAGGAGAAGCCCACCAGCACCTGATGGCAGCCGTCACCTCCGCAGGGAAGGAGGCCTTCCTCATCCGGAGCCAAGCTGAGGCCCAGGACGAGAAGGAGGAGGGGAAGGGTACCGGGGGCCCCTCTCCTCGGGCCTTCCTGCTCCCGGACGAGCTGCCCCTCCTCCTCGAGGCCCTCCGGAGCGGGGGTCCCGGCTGGAAGCGGCAGGCGCTGCACTCGTCCCTCCCGGAGGCGCTCTCGCTCCTTGTTGCGGAGAAGGCGGGGGCGCTGAGGCGGGAGGCCTGGGAGCGGGCCCTGGGCGCCACCACCCCCTCGTGCCCCCCACAGGAGGCGGCCGCAGAGCTTCTTGCAGCCCTGGGGGGCTTCCGCCGGGAGCTGGGCCTGGAAGAGGCCTTCCTGGAGATGGAGGCCGGGCTGGGGCCCGACGAAGCGGCCGAGGTGCTGCAAGCGGAGGCCAGGAGCCCCTTCGCCCGCCCCATGGCCCCCGAAGAACTGCTGAACCTCGTCGCCGGACCCCCCTCCCTGGCCAGCTGGGCCTGGAGCTTCGTGCCCTTCTTTGGGTGGGGGTCCCAGGCGGAGGGCCCGGTCTCCTTCGCAGACGCCTACCGGGTGCTGCAGAGAGCGGTGACGGAGCTGGCGGAGGATGCAGAGCGGGTGCTGCGGAGGGCCCTCCTGAAGGAATAGCCCCCCCCCCTTTGTGCTGGTGGTCTCTTGGGTGCAAAGGGAGATGCCACCAAAGGTGGGCAGCCTGGGATATCGCCGGGCAAGAGCGGTGACTCCTGCTACACGTGCCGGACAGCCCTCGCTTGCTTAATCGCCTTCCGATTTGCTTGCAAGAACAACATTGTGGGTAAAGGGGCTGCTCCGTCCAGGGTTCTCCCCTCCGCCCTTGACCCCCGAAGGGTCCAGCCTGACTCCACACACAACAGGCCGGCACAACGCGGGAGGCAGAAGAGGCCAGAATGAGATCAGCTAAGCCTCTCAGATAGGAAGTAGGCTTGGGCGATCC